TAGAAATACCACAAGCAAAAAATAAAGACCCTAAATTATATCTCATGCAGATATAAGTGGATTACAAAGAGCCCCATCATTGCTGAAACCCTAAGATGATGAGCAATATAAACATTGGACCTAACAAGTGAACCCAATAGTGATCAAGCAAAATCATTCATAAAACCACCCACAAAGAGGAGCCTCCACAGCCCGAAGTTCAAGAAAGATCACGGAAGATAATGTCCAGTAGAAGGAGTTCATCAACAATAGTTACAAACATGGAAAAATCCAGAGCTTGAAAATGGGGAGAATTCTTATTTAGATAAATGACAATAATTAAGTAACAATGGAACTCTAATTTAGAATAAATAGCTTTTCATGATCAACAGAGAAAAAGCAACAGCAGCCATAAAATTTTTGCAGAGCATAAATATATATGTTTGTATAGAAATTATAAACATGCAAAGTATAGTCATTGAAAAAATTCTTAAAAGTAGACTAGACATAATAACATAAAGAAATAGTAAAGTGTAGTCTGGCCAGCAAAAATAATATTATGGTTGGGAGTCACCACAACATGAGGAACTGTATTAATGGTCACGGCATTAGGAAGGTTGAGAACCACTGTGCCCTAGTGGATGAAGAAGGCCAAAGAAAAATGCCAGGAACAGACTGACAAGAGATGCAGGCTGTCCTCTCTGAGAGCTTCTACCTCTAAATTTGAGGCCAGTAAAACATGAGGTTTATCTAACAGAAACAAATAAATTAGATCAGACATGAAAAAAGAATGATGGGAAATGTAAAATTGTATATTAGAAATATAAGTGATAGAATAAGTGAGTCAGGAATTGCTTACTTGGAATAACCAAAGGATCATTCACCCATTTAAGTCAAATAAGAGGCCCCAACATATATTCAAAAGCATTCCAGAAAAATTAATGAAGTGATGGAAAAGGGAATATTAAATTTAAAAATTGACATGAAGTTTCCAGAATTGAATCAAGGATATTAATTCTCAAATTGAAAAATCACAGAATCCTTAGATATAGAACAATAAAAAAGCATATCACAGACAAACTACAGCATCTTAAAAGATAATCAGAGTACTCGTTGGAATTAATATTACTCTCAATATACTAATCTAGACTGATTCCTGAGTTTGGCAAGAACACCACTGAGCAATATGATAAAATTGATTCCTGTTGTTCTAACTTCATGTGTTTGAAGGCCCTAGGGGACTGCCACCTTGTCATGACAAGGGACAGATTGGTGCTAGCTCTGAGCACAGATCAAGCCTCATAGTCTGTTGAGTGCACAGTGGTAATCACTCTGTTTATGTATAAACAGTTGGCTGAGCCTGAAACTAACTAGCTACCAAGAAACCCTGGGTAGGGGCTTCCGGGGCTTGAGGCAAACCAGGACCAATGGTGACTGAAGGCTTCATGACTCCACCATCAGGAGCCACCTGGCAACACTTTATTCTGTTTCCCCCCTCCCTACCAGTACTACTCATTTTATTCCCAACAATTTCATTAAAATGTAAATACAGCAAAGCTTTGCATTTTACTGTGATTACAGTTTTGGTAATGTCTTAAAACTTTGATTTATAATAGCTGGTTTGGAGTTACTTTATTAATATTGGTAACAATGTTTCAAATATTTTGGACCCAAGCATTATTTGGTGACCACTATTTAATTTCCAAAAAGCTGGTGATTTTTAATTAAATATTTGTAATTGTGTTTTAATTGTATTGTGCTAGACACTGATAATGTGGTTCTTCTTCAAAAGATTTTGTGTTCTAGTATGTGATTGCTTTTTATTCAAATGTACTTTGATAACTTATGTGCAAATAAAAAGCTTTTAATTGTAAGGTGTATAATATGTGATTCATTAGTTACTACTTCATCATTTGTATTATATGTTCTGTAACTTTTTACTAAATATAGAAAATAGCTTCAGAAATCAATTACTTTTACTGTATTTTAATTCAGGTCTTCTTAAATTTCTAAGTAATTAAACTTTACATATTTCAAAATATATTAAACATTCAATAAATATTGTGCCTGTGATAGTGATATTCATAGGATGCTGCAGGCCTGACCACTGGCTCACTGTCATGCCTCACTTGGCATCCAAAATAGTGGCCAACTGTGGATCCTATCTGAATTTTCCCCAATGTATTTCTTGTAAAAATGCAGCATTTTTTTTCTTTAGGAAGAAGTAATTTGGGGTCTATTTTCAATGTCTTCCTTTAAACTATCTCATTTTATATGCAAAAATTTTTCCAAACATTATAATGTATGAAAGGATTGCAGCTCTGAATTCTAGAAATGATACAGATATATTTCTTATTTATGTATTGATTTGGTAATTTCAGTTTTAGATTTCTGCCTGTCATTATTTTTGGAAGTCTATTGTTATCATTTAAAACAGATCTATTACAGCAATTAGACATGAAAAAATAAAAGGAATTCAAATTGAAAAGGAGGAAATAAAACTGTCATTATTTGCAGATGACATGACATAGTACATAGAAAACCCTAAAGACCCCAACAAAAATCTACTAGACTTAATAAATGAATTTGGCAAACTAGCAGGATACAAAATTAACGTCAAAAAATCAATGGCATTCTTATACACCAATGATGAACTCACAGAAAGAGAAACTAAAAAAACAATCCCATTTCCCATTGCGGCAAAAAATTAAGATACCTAGGAATAAACTTAACCAAAAAAATAAAGGATCTCTTCACAGAAAACTACAGGTAATTGAAAAAAAAAAATAGAGGAAGATATAAAAGAGTGGAAGCATATACCTTGTTCATGGATTAGAAGAATTAACATCATTTAAATGTCCATACTATCTAAAGCTATACATAAATTCAATGCAATCCCCATCAAAATACCAATGATATATTTCACAGAACTAGAACAAACACTCCAAAAGTTTACATGGAACCAAGGAAGGCCCTGAATAGCCACAGCAATCTTGAAAAAAAAAAAAGAACAAAGTAGGAGGGATCACATTACCAGACATGAGGTTATACTACAAAAGCCACTATAATCAAAACAGCCTGGTACTGGCACAAGAACAGGCACCTATATCAATGCAACAGAATAGAGAACCCAGAAATTGACCCAAGACAATATGCTCAATTAATATTTGACAAAGGTGGCATGAGCATACAGTGGAGTCAAGACAGCCTCTTTAATAAATGGTGTTGGGAAAATTGGACAGCTACATGCAAAAGAAAGTGAAGCTAGACTACCATACACAAGAATAAACTCAAAATGGATAAAAGACTTAAATATGATTTGTGATTTCATAAAAATTCTAAAAGAAAATGCAGCGATCAAATGCAGCAGAAATTTCACTGATACAACACCGAAGGCAAGAGAAAAAAAGGAAAAATGAACACATAGGATTACATCAAACCAAAAAGCTTTTGCACAGCAAAAGAAACAACCATCAAAATGGAAAGGGAATCCACTATATGGGAAATCATTATTGCCAATGATATATCAGATAAAGGGTTAATTTTCAAAATATATAGAGTATTCACACAACTCAACAAAAGGAAGACAAAGAACCCAATTAAAAAATGGGCAGAGGAACTAAATAGACACCTCTCCAGACAGGACACACAAATGGCCAAGAGACTTATGACAAAATGTTCAATGTCACTAATCATCAAAGAGATGTTAATTAAAACAACAATGAGCTATCAATTCACACCTATCAGAATGGCCGCCATCAACAAATCATCAAACAACAAGTGCTGGCCAGGGTTTGGCGAAAAGGGGACCTTAGTACACTGCTGGTGGGAATGCAGACTGGTGCAGCCACTATGGAAAATACTATGGTGTTATCTCAAAAAATTAAAAATTGAACTTCCATTTGACCCAGTGATCTCACTTCTAGGAATATACTCTATGACGCCTAAAACACCAATCAGAAAAGATATTGTACCCCTATGTTCATAGCAGCACTATTTACAATAGCTAAGGTCTGGAAACAGCCTAAGTGTCTCTCAATAGAGGAGTAGATAAAAAAGTGGTGGTACATATACACAGTGGAGTACTAAGAAAGATCTCTTATCCTTTGAGACGACATGGAGGGACCTGGAAAGTATTATTCTAAGCGAAACAAGCCAAGCAGAGAAAAGCAAATATTTCATGATCTCACTTATTTGTGGGATATAATGAACTAAACAAACTGATGAACAAAATAGACCCAGAGTCATAGATGTAGTGTACAGACTGACAATCTCCAGAAGGGGGTGGGGGAGGGATGGGCTAAACCACAGAACCTATATGCATGTATGCATAACTGATGGGCATAGACAACAAAGTTGGGGACGGGGTGGGAGGGAATGGGGAGGAGGTTGTCAATGAGGGGAAAAAGGAGAAACATCTGTAACAAAAATAAATTAATAAAAAAATTAAAAATAAAAATAATAAATAAATAAAACAGGTCCATTAAAATTTTGATGATTCTTTATTCCTTACAATGTTAGTGCTCATTTCTTCCACATTTATCAGCTAGCAGAGAATTAAATTTGGCTAATTGAAATTATATTCTAAATCCTTAAGACATTCTGACACTATATAGATTATATTTAAAGTATTATCATTCTTTCCACCTGAAAATCCTCTTTATTCTTTCAAATAGAGTTGAATGTAAAGAAACTGAAAAACAAGTCATACTTATGTTTTGATAAAGATAGCAAATTATCAAAATTCATCCCCTATGAAACAACATGGATAACTAAAAAAGAAATCTGGTTCTAAATGAAGGAGCAAGGTAGGAGCTTACACTATGGATTCAGGTTCTTTAGTATATAGATTCAATATTTATTATATAAACTCTTATGTTATTTTAAGGATAAAATAAGAGACAATGAAAAGCCGGTAACTTGAAACATTTACAAATGCAAAATATTGACATTCTGGATAATTACAAATGATGATTATAAGTAAAACAAAACCAGATAATAAATTAATGTTGATCACTTACTTATGCATCATCTTCACAGTGTGTATTTTGCCATCAATTACAATGTTGTAGGACACCTAACAGGATAGTATATTTAAAAGGTAAAGAAAAGTGAGAAGAATCTTAGAAAAAAATATATCATTTTATTTTACTTCATTTTTAATCTTCACCTAAGGGTATTTTCTATTTATCTTCAATTAGTGTGGGAGGGAGCAAGGGAGAGAGAAATATCGACATGAGAGGGACACATCGACATTGCCTCTAGCACGACCCCGACCAGGGTCTGGGACAAACCTCAAGTGAGGTGTGTGCCCTTGATCGGAATCTAAAACACGACTCTTTGATCTGCAGGGCTATGTTCTAACTGCTGAGCCAAACTAGCCAGGGCAAAACTATCATTGTATATTGAAGATAATTGCATTCTAAAATACTAATACAATTTTTTTAAAATTATAATTTAATATTGATCTATTTCAATGGAATTTGATATTAAAATATTGGTTTTCATAATAAAAACTGTGTAGAATAATGATTTGTGTAGTTTCTTATTTGTTAACTTTTAAGTGTATCCAATAAAATAGAATCTCAAAAATTATTTTCATCCAATAATTTTATCTAAATAAAGATTGACACCATTATAAAAGTTATGCTTAAAATGGGAGGCTATAACTAAATTACTCAATAGAAATATTATATAGTAAAGTAAAGAATTAACAGCACTTAGTGTATAATACTTGTAGATTTTATAATGTGTTTCAAGTTTAGATGCATTACTCATTGATCTATTTTATTAATGTTAGGATTAAGAAATGATGTCTAACAAATGAACAATTTAATCTTTATACCTCAATTTTGGCATTTTTATAGGCCTTCCAATATGTGAGAATGGGATGTATTCAATTTCTTTAGGTCTTTAACTCCTCTCATCTTGCTTTACTATATTCAGTGAGGAGATTTTGCTTATCTTTGTGATATTTATTTAGATACTAATTTTTATACAGTGTCAACTATAACTTCTTAAAATTTTATTTATATTTGTGCTTTGCAGAATAAAAATACAATTAATTGTTTTATATTTTGGTCTTATTTCCAGAGTATGTACTATATTATTGTATTATTTCTAATTTTGTCTAGATTATTTTGTATTTTATTTTATACACAATCAGTTTATCTGCGAATGATGATAGTGTTATTTCTTCCTTTCCAATTATTATGCCTCTTTCAAAATTGTTGTTTTCTGTCTTTATTGCACTGACTAATACTTCCAGAAGAATGATATATAGAAAATGTAATAGAGTGCATCCTTGGTTTTTTCTTGATCTCAGGAGAAAAGCTTTAAATATTTCAACTTTACGTATTTTTAAAGGCATATAAACATCTTTATAAAGCCTCAATTGACTATTATTTTAAATTATTACATGGTTTGGGCAAACAAACATTAAAGAAAACTATATAAAATTTCTTGTCACCAATTTCTATATTAAAAGATAATTTTAAGTGCTCTTAGTACCATTCCCATAGTTACTTCCCTTTCTTACAAGCTAGCTAACACCCTAAATTTCATGTTTATCATTCCTATACATAATTTCACATTTATGCTAATAATGGGTGTTTATTTAAGTAATGGTTTTATTTTTCATAAAATTTAAGTTTAAATAAAAATAATCCTTCTACAAGTTATATATTTCATTGTTGGATTACATCTGGTGGTTAGAACACTGCCTCAGACATAATAAGCATTATACATACAAACATTTGCTGTCATCATCATCATCAATACACATAGCTATATCTTTTTTTGTGTGTGTGGTATAACTGAACATAGCAGAGTTTATTCATCTATATTGTTTCTATTTAGTTCTATTTTTTCACTATTTTAAGCATAGTTCCAATAATCTTGGACATGTTGCATTATACATATTTGTTAGGTATATATGTTAAACTAAACCTATGAGCCTATGAGTGGACTTCTTTTATTAAAAATAAAATAAGCCAGTCAGAGAAAGACAAGTATCACATGATCTCATCTATAAGTGGAATCTAATGAACAAAATAAACTGACAAACAAAATAGATCCAGAGACATGGAAGCATGGAACAGAATGATGAATCTCAGATGGGGGGTGAGAAGATTAACCAAAGAATTTATATATATATATATATATATATATATATATATATATATATATATATATATTTGCATAACCCATGGACATAGACAATAGTACAGTGAAGGCCTGGGGTGCGGTGGGGTCAGTGGGGAAAAATGGGGGGGACATCTGTAATACTTTCAACAATGAAGATAAATTTTTTAGAAAGCTATTTTATTTAAAATTTAAAATTAATCTTCAAATTCATTGTACAAATGTAGACATTAATTCACAGTGAATAATATTCTTTTATTCATATCCTGTAATCACGTTTTGTTCTTTTAGATGTAATTTTTTATTAATGATGCAAAATAACTGTCTTATTATGTTTGTCAATTTTCTGTAAATGACTTAATTTGTATATTTTATTTTTTTTGTTACCCACTTAACACTTAATTGCCATTCATAATTTTGAACGTGTATCTATTTTCTTGTTTTTTATCTTACTGATTTGTATGAGTTCTTGATACAGTCTGAATACACTTTGTGTATTATAAGGATTGCAAATTTCTTCTGTGAGGCTGGAACATTTTTCATTTTGTTTATGGTAGCTATTTATTTATGTATTTACAACTAGATGGTCCTCCAACTTTTACTTAAGAATTTGTTCTTTATTTTTCTGGCTCAAGATTCCCCTATTATAAAGTCCTAAAATAAGTCTTTTATCCTGTTTTCTAAATTTTTAGTATTTTATTCTCAGATGTATGCTTCTAAATTATCTATTTTTAAAATCCATCAACAATTATTTTATTTTTTAATGTAATTTAGTTTAAATTTTTCTATCATCATTTATCCCTCCTATATCCTCTTCTATCTTTCCCCACCCCCACAATCACCACACTGTTGCGTGTCAATGAGTTATTTTAATAATGTTGGTGTATAATATGGCATAAATATACTGTTTATTATTATTATTCTATATTGCCAATCAACTGTCCTTCACCATTTATTAACTAGTCCATTCTTTATCCAATTATTTCAATGTTGTCATTGCATTGAAAAATTTTCATATGTGTGTGGATATTTTGGAAGCATTCTGTTCTGTTCCATTAATTTGTCTTCCCTTAGACACTGCCATATTATTTTAATTACTAAAACTTTAAAATATACTTCAATGTGAATCACCCTTTTATTCTTTAAAATTAACAATTTCTGACATTTTACCATTACTTATGAATTTTAAAATCAACTTGCCATTTTTTATGAAATTCTTACTGAAAGTGTAATCAATTTATAGATTTGGTGAACTTCAGAATACACTGAGTATTCTTCACTGCCAACATGATCTATCTCTCTACTTTTATCAGTGACTCAATACAACTTTAATAAATCCTAAAAAAGTATTTTCCTTGTGAGTAATATTTATTGGTAACTCATAGTTTTAGCAATATATTATATATATTATATATGTGTGTGTGTTTATACATATATACACATATCATATGCATATATGAATGTATACAATAGTTTCTCAAAAATATGAGTTATTTACCAATAAATATTACTAGTTGTGTATGAATATGTATGTTTGTGTGTTTTCTTTTATTATCATTCTAAATTTCTCTTTATTGCTAATATTTGAATATTTTATTTTTTTTCCTCATCTTACTTCTAGGTTATAATGGCAAATGTAATGTTGAATGGAAAAGGCCATAATAGCCATCCTTCTTTAATTCATAAAAGTCAAAGAAATTCTACTTATGTTTTACTATTAGAAAGAGATTCTCATATATGATTCAAATATTTGTCTTGGTTATTTTCCTATTTCCCTTTTCCCCAGGAATCTGTTTTTCTACAAAATTGTTTACCTTCTCAAAGTTATCAAGTTTGTTGGTACATTTATTCACTGAATTATTTATTATTTTTTTCTTTCTATATATCCACTTTTTTTCTTTATATCCACTATGTCCACTTTTTTCATCCCTGTTAATAGAACTTTTATACTTTTATTCTGTACTTTAAAGATTATTTTTGCCTGATTAAAAAATGTGACTACACATGTTTATTGTTGGTTACAGTTTGCTTTGTATAATTGTGTGTGTTTGTGTATGTGTTTGACCTTTCTTTCCTTATAATTTAGATGTCTTCTCATGTATTTTTAAAACCAACCCAAAATATATGCATTTCTGATAAATTTAATCAATTTTCATTTAAGTTTTATTTTGTTTTGATTCCCTTCTATATTGAAACTTATACACTCCTTCTATTCTTTTATTTGTTACAATTACAATTTCGTATTCACTTTGTTTTGTTTTGTGTTATACACATTCTCTACTTTTTCACCAGCTCCTGTTTTTATGTTCTCCTTTGTCCCAGTTTTAATTTCTACATGCTGAAGTAAATTATTTCAACTCTTTTCTTCTCTTATAATCTGAAAATTATTAATATACCCCAATTTCTGAAAGATAGTTAATTTGAGTAAATTATTCCATAATGCAAATTTATTTAAAGTCAGACAACTGAAGCTTTTATTTCACTATTTTCTCATCCATATTGTTAATTTTGAGACTCTATCAGTGTACTAATTATTTCAATGTGGATGAACTCTGATGCCTGGCTGCCTTTAAGATGATTTCTTGGCCTGGTATTCTCATTTCACTGTCAACGTGTTACATGATTTTTATGTATTCTGTGTAGCAATACCTGATCTGAGGATTCTTTTTAAAATCATTTCTCAGTTAACATATATTTAATAAAACCTCTTCAAGTTTTTTATTTTTCTTTTACAAGAATTCTAATTATTTAATACTTGAGCCTCTAATTCTATCCTTCTTTCCCCTTTAAGCCATTTATATGTTGCATCTACTTGATCTCTTCAGCTCTCTGGTCTAGTTAATTCTTTACTTTTTTACTTTCATTTTATATTTTTCACATCTAGAAGCTCCATTCAGTTACATTTTTTTAAAAATCTCCTAGTTTTTCTATGTTGAATATTTTCTTCTATGATCTTTATTCTTTATTAATTATAATAATTATAAACATACTCTGTTTCATATGTTTGTAGCATTTGTTAGATCAGTTAGCCTTTACTGGCTGAAAAAATACTAATTCCTTACTATCTATTCAGCACTATTCGAAACACTGGGGATAGAGACATTAGCAAATAGTTCAATTTTGTTCCTCATGAATTTGATGGTCGAAGAACGGGAATTACTATCATAGAATCTAGTGATGACTGGTTTATGATATTGACCCCTTAATAGATCCTGTGTGCATTTTCTAATACAATGAATTACATGTGTTTGCATAAAAATGAAACTTTTAAAATACTGCTAAATGCCTCACATCTTTTTTCTATTTAAATAATTACATTTGAAACTTTTGTAAATTGCATTCTTTTTAAAATGGTATATTGAAAAATTTAAACTTGTATTATTTGCATTTGAGTGACAAGTGGATAGTTTTAAGAAAGTTTCATTCAACTTATCAGAACACATATTACTCAACTAGAAAGAAAATTAAGGGAGGGTGTATCAAAAAACACTTCACTTCTTTAGAAATGATTCTAGAAATTAGTAAAAGAGATATAAATTATTCCAATCAATTCAAAGAAAACAAAGACGCTGATCCAAGATGAACTAAAATGGCATGAAAAGAACAGCCTTGATGATTAACATATTTGCAATAATATCACAAAACAGTTTATGAAATCAAATGATTGTCATCCCACATAAGGAAGCTGTAAATTTACTAAACAATTGTTTTCTCCAAATATAGCCTGGTGAGAGAGTGAGGGAGAATCTCTAGATGGAGCTGGTCAATGATTATTCAAACACTGAAGAGGAAAACAATTTAGAAGATGGAACTTGGGGCTTTGATAATAAGCATCACTGTACAACATGTCTATGAAACATTATTAGTCTGGGTTCATTTTCAAAAGGCCTTTTTACTCAAGAAAAATTAGGTATAAATATAAAATTCAGCAGCATGGAAAAAAAATGTCAGGTTACTTAGGAATAAAATAGTCACATTGTTTTTAGATCATGAAAAAATGTTAGTGCTTAATTACATTTGATTCAACTCCATCTTTTGATTGTGACTCTTTTTTCTCCGGAACTGTAATTTGCACGTGTAGTAGTTCAGAATCTGTAAAGTGCAAAATGTTTTGTTACTGCAACACCCATTGCCTCATATCTCCTTATCTAACTTCATAATATTCTATACGCCACCACCTATTTTTACTACATTTTCAAATACCCTCAATCCACAGTCTTTCCGGAATTACAGGACTTTGTAAAGACAAACAGGTACATTGCTTTAAGAATATTGACCTGCGGCGGTTCGTGGTAATTCCGAGCCAATAGGATCAAACACTCTCAGTACATATAAAGTCAGGTCCTTTTGACCTTCCAACTAGTGTCCAGAGGTAAAAAAAAAAAAAAAATGCAGAGCAGGGCATGAAACACTAATCCTGGAGCCTCCACTCAAGCCATGCATGGCATCGCCCGTTTTTAATATGGTCCCAAGACGAGTGGGAAAGCCCCTTGGCAGGCAGTGTAGGTATTGTTTGGGGAAGGTGGCAATTGGGAGTGGGCTCGTGCCTACACAGTTGAGCCCCCCAAGAAGGCACTTTCCCAGGGATTATCCAGCCTCTCAGAAGGAAATCCACAGAAAAGCTGACATTTGTGACAGGTCAAAGGGGACAGGGCCAGGGGACAGTGTACTTACTACGGTCTGTCTGGACCCAGATGAGCCCAACGATCAGGAACAGATAGCGCAGCATGGCTTGATGCCCTGGATCCCAGCCCCAGTAATGGCAGTTGGCTTGGCGAGAAGGCGGTTGGAAGCGCGAGCGGATCCCTGCAGAGGCAGAGGGCAAAGGGAGCAAAGATGCGTGTGGAGCATCTGTGCTGCGCGCTGTTGAACGTGGGCAGTCTAGGCCCCTAACTCGAAGCAGTAGGAGCCTTCTACTCATTTTTGATGCCGCTTTGAGGCTAAAAAGAGCAGAATCACTTTCAAACCATAGAGTTGAAGAAACAGCTAATGAACAGGAAAATTCATATGCACTTCTTAAGTGAACTCTTTTTTTTAATTTATATTTGTTACAGATGTTTCTCCCCCCCCCCCCATTGACACCGTCCTCCCAATCCCGCCCCCACCCCAGCATTATTGTCTATGTCCTTGTTTATGCATACATGGTATAAGTTTTGTGGTTTATTTTTTCCCTCCCTCCACATCCACCTCTTCTGAAGTTTGTCAGCCTGCACCTCACTTCCATGACACTGAGTCTATTCTGTTCCTCAGCCTGTTTTGTTCATTACATTCCACAACTAAGTGAGATCATGCCATATTTGTCTTTCTTTGATTGGCTTGTTTTGCTTAGGATAATACTCTCCAGGCCCTTCATGTTGTCTCAAAGGTTAAGAGATCTTTCTTAGTTATGGCTGCATAGTACTCCATTGTGTATATGTACCACCACTTTTTTTTTATCTACGCCTCTATTGAGGGACACTTGGGCTGTTTCAAGATCTTAGCAATTGTAAATAGTGCTGCAATGAACATAGGAGTACATATATTCTTTCTGGTTGGTGTTTCAGGCTTCTTAGGATATATTCCTAGATATGGGATCACTGGATCAAATGGCAGTTCAATTTTTAATTTTCTGAGGATACACCATATAGTTTTCCATAGTGGCTGCACCAGTCTGCATTCCACACCAGCAGTGTACTAGAGTCCCCTTTTCTCCACACCCTCGCCAGCACTTGTTTGATGATTTGTTGATGGGCAACCATTCTGGCAGGTGTGAGGTGATACCTAATAGTCATTTTAATTTGCATCTCTTTGATGGTTAGTGATATTGAGCATATTTTCATATGTTTCTCGGCCATTTATATGTCCTGTTTGAAGAGGTGTCTGTTTAGGTCCTCTACCCATTTTTAATTTGATTTTTGTCTTCCTTTTGTTGAGTTGTATGAGTACTCTATATATTTTGAAAATTAACCCTTTATCTGATGTATCATTGGCAATTATGCTCTCCCATATAGTGTGTTCCCTTTCTGTTTTGATGGTTATTTCTTTTGCTGTACAGAAGCTTTTTAGTTTGATATAGTTCCATATGCTCATATTTTCCTTTGTTTCTACTGCCTTGGGCATTGTATCAGTGAAAATTCTGCTGAGTGTGATGTCTAAAATTTGGTTTTCTGTGCTTTCTTCTTAGCCATAACTATTAGACATGAAGAAAACATAAAAGAAATCCAAATTGGAAAGGGGGAAGTGAAACTGTCATTAGTTGCAGATGGCATGATACAGTACATAAAAAACCCTAAAAACTCCATTAAAAATCTACTAGATTTAATAAATGAATTTGGCAAAGTAGCAGGATACAAAATTAACATCAAGAAATCCATGGCATTCTTGTACACCAACAATGCACTAAATTAAAGACAAATTTAAAAAGTAACCCCATTTACCATTGTGGGGAAAAAAATTAACTACCTAGGAATAAACTTAACGAAGAAGTGAAGGACCTATTTGCAGAAAATTATAGGACATTGGAAAAAGAAATAGAGAAACATATAAAAAAGTGGAAGCATAAACCTTGTTCATGGATTGGAAGAATTAACATCATTAAAATGTCCATACTACCCAAAGCAATCTATAGATTCAGTGCAATCCTCATCAAAATATCAATGACATATTTCACAGAACAGAACAAATACTTCAAAAGTTCATATGGAACCAAAAAAGACCTCGAATAGCCACAGCAATCTTGAAAAAAAAGAACAAGTGTCCCTTTCATGTCAATGTTTCTCTTTCTTCCTCTCTCTCCCCCCCACTCTGAAAAAATGTCCTCTGGTAAGGATAAAAAAAAAAAAAGAATATGGATTAATGTCAGCTATGAGTTACATTATTATATAAATGTAAATTATGTTAAATTGGATAATAGAGTTTCATATATTTTATATCTTTGCCAATTCCTTTGCCTCTGTTTTTTTAAATATTGTCAACTAAGATAGTAGATTTTTCTATTACTTTTTTGTGTTCTATCATCTTTTGATTCTTGTATTTTGAATATGTATTATTTTGTATAAGCCCGGTTAGGGAAGATCCTTGTCATTGTTTATTTTGTCTCACAATTCCATAGCCAGATTTGCTTTTTTGTAATTAGAATTTGCATGAGATATTTTTAAAAACTGCTTGTACTTAAAAGTGTGTCCTTATATGTGCATGTGGATTTGTGGATTTGTAAATAGTATATACTCTTTATTTTTAAATCTAGTTTGCCAATAATTGGCTGTAATTGAAGCAATAGGTCCATTTCATTTGCTGTAAATTACAGAGATGTTAAGTTTACTTCTCTCACCTTCCTAATAGTTTTCTATGTTTCTTATCTGTATATTTTCAGTTCTTTGTCTTCTTAAATAAGGAAGCACTTCAATAATCCATTAGATCTCTTCTCTTTGATTTTTAAATATACCACTTATTCTTTTGTTCTTTAGTGATTAGATATTTTATTATACATATTTAATATATTTCATTTTACATATTATATCATGACTAATGTAAGAATGTTGCAACAAGATAATTTCATTTAAGCTCTTTCATTTATTATTGCCATATATTTTACACACACACAGCAATCCTAGGTTAATGGAAAAATAGAGTGGAAAATACAGCATGTTCCTACTCCCATATCCCCTCCAAGCACACACACACACACACACACACACACACACACACACACGTTCCTTCATACCATCATTCAGCATCAGTGACATGTCATTACTAACTGAATCTATAGTTTACATTGGAATTAATTCAGTGTTGTACATTCTATGGGATTTAACAAATGTATAATGACATCTATCTACCATTATAACAGTATACAGAATAGCCACACTTATTCATAGCTTTTTTCCTTTCTGAACCTCTGGCAATGACTGATTATTTTTCTTTACTATCTTTATTATTTTCCCTTTTCCAGAATGTCATTGGGTTTGAATCATATGGTAGGTAGCCTTTCTATGTATGCTTCTTTCACCTAGTAATATGAATTTAAAGTTAGTTCATATATTTCCATTTTATATAGATATACATATATATATAGGTTTACTATTTTATTTACTTACATCACTTAATGTGAAATTTTAAATGTCTTCTATTTTATACCAGCAATTCCTTTCAGCTTTTTGTTTTTATAAAAATGCTTTTATTTTTAAAGCTTATTCCTATTGGATAAAAAAAATTTATACTGATAGATACTTTATATATTTTTTTATTTATTTAGTATTTTAAAATTTTATTCCAGTGACTTTTGCTTTCCATTGTTTCTAGTGAAAAGTGGTTTCTGGCTTCCATTACATTTAACATCATTCTTTTGTTCTTTCTAAACTTTTTTTTTTCTTTATTGATTTTTAGAGAGAGAGGAAGGGAGAAGGAGAAAGAGTCAGAAACATCCCTGAGAGAGAACATCGATGGCTGCCTCCTACATGCCGCCCACTGAGGACTGGACCCACAACCTGGGCATGTGCCCTGACCGGGAATTGAACTGGCGACCTCTTGGTGATGGGTCGATGCTCAACCACTGAGCCATACTGGCTGGGTCTAACATCATTCTTAATGTCGTTTCCCAGGATATATTTTTCTTTAATAATTTTAAAGATATTTTTTCTCTATCTTTTGTTTATCAGTAGTTTATAATATGCCTAGGTGTGCATTTTCTATGTTGATTATTCTTAGGATTTAAAAAATTGTTGGGTTCACAAGTTTATTTCTTTCATCTATTTTAGAAAATTTTTAACCATTATCATTTCAAATATTTTCTCTACCAATTTTTCTGCTTCTCTGATTTTATTTGTCTGTTTGTATGTTAGATGATTTTATCTTTTCCCACAGTCTCTAAAATAATTTGCTTATTTCATGATTTTTCTCATCCTGTTTCACTTGCATATATAATATCATTTCTGTTAGGTATATACATAAGAGTGGAAATGTTGCATTATACTATGACACTCCATTTTGTTTTCCATAGTGGCTGCACCAGTCTGCATTCCCACCAGCAGTGTACTAAGGTCCCCTTTTCTCCACACCCTCACCAACACTTGTTGTTTGATGATTTGTAGATGGTGGCCATTCTGACAGGTGTGAGATACCTTATTGTTGTTTTAATTTGCATCTCTCTGATGATTAGTGATGTTGAGCATTTCTTCATATGTCTCTTAGCCATTTGTATGTCCTGTTTGGAGAGGTGTCTATTTAGTTCCTCTGTCCATTTTTTAATGGGTTCTTTGTTTTCTTTTGTTGAGTTGTATGAGTACACTATATCTATTGGAAATTAACCCTTTATCTGATATATCATGGGCATTTATGCTCTCGCATACAGTGGGTAGCCTTTCCACTTTGATGATTGTATCTTTCGCTGTGCAGAAGCTTTTGAGTTTGATGTAGTCCCATGTGTTCATTTTCTCCTTTTTTTCTGTTGCCTTAGGTGATGTATCAGTGAAAATTCAGCTGCATATGATGTCTGAAACTTTGTTGCCTACAGTTTCTTCTAGGATTTTTATGGATTCATGACTCACATTTAAGTCTTTTATCCATTTTGAGTTTATTCTTCTGTATGGTGTAAGTTGATGGTCTAGTTTCATATTTTTTTGCATGTAGCTATCCAATTTTCCCAGCACCATTTATTAAAGAGGCTGTCTTTACTCCACTGTATGCTCTTGCCACCTTTGTCAAATATTAATTGAGCCTATTGCCTGGGGTCCATTTCTGGGTTCTCTGTTCTGTTCCACTGGTCTATATGCCTGTTCTTGTGGCAGTACCAAGCTGTTTTGATTACTGTGGCTTTGTAGTATAATCTGAGATCTGGTAATGTGATCCCTCCAACTTTGTTCTTCTTTTTCAAGATTGTTGTGGCTATTTGAGATCTTTTTTGGTTCCATAAGAACTTTTGAAGTATTTGTTCTAGTTCGGTGA